GCTGGGCAGAGCTCACTGTGAGCCCAGGGCCCCTGCACAGCTGGCCTGGTGAGTCTGAACACTCAGGAACGCGGGGACTTCGAGCTCCACAATGATCCTGTCGGCCTCTCAAGACCGCTTCCATCCCCCCTCTCAGAGGCCTTTCCAAGTCGAACCAGACCTTGTTGATGTCTCTTCCACCCTGGCCTGGCCCAGTGCTGGAGTGTAATTAGCCACTAATTACAGTGGGTGGTAGATGGTAGATGTGGCAATTTCTCCTGGGCCTCAAGAACACCCCTAGCCCTGGTCCATAAAATAGAAATGTCTTGGAGACCCCAAGCCACCATCCCCACCCCCCCGCAGAGCACTCCCAGCACCCAAGGTGAGCGCCATGTGCATGAAGACGCACCAGGATAAGGGGTCAGCCCTGGGGCTCCACGACTACTCCCAAGGGAAGGCCCCCTTCTCCGTCTGAGCAGAGACCTGTTCTTGGATAAAGAGAAGGCAACAGGGGCCCTGCCTGGGAAAGGCTGAGGTCCTCTCTCGGCCTGGGAGGGAGCTAGAATGAAGGCTTATGTCATCCAAGCCACCCAGAGCCAGTGAGCACAGTCCCAGGACCAAGAGCCTGCAGGCTCCACACACCCGACCCAAGTCAGTGCCCACCAACAGCACAGACAGCAGGCATGTCACCCTATGTCCCCCATGTCATGGTGTATGGATGGGTGGGTGGTGGATGGATGGGTGGATGGATGGGTGGATAGATGGATGGGGAGGGGTAGATGGTGGATGGATGGATGGATGGATGGATGGATGGATGGATGGATGGATGGATGGATGGATGGGTAGGTAGTGGGTGAATGGATGGATGGGAGGGTGGGTGGATGGATAGGTGAATAGATGGATGGATGGATCGGTAGTGGATGGATGGATGGACGGATGGATGGATGGATGGATGGATGGATGGATGGATGGATCGGTAGTGGATGGATGGACGGGTGGGTGGTGAATGAACTGGTGGGTGGGTGGGTGGATGGATAGGTGAATAGATGGATGGATGGGTAGGTAGTGGGTGGATGAATGGGTGGATGGGTGGGTGAAGGATGGATGGATGGGGGATGGATGGATGGATGGATGGATGGATGGATGGATGGATGGATGGATGGATAGGTGGGTGGCTGTCTCTTATACACATCTAGATGTGTATAAGAGACAGGTNGGTGGGTGGATAGATGGATGAATGGGTGGGTAGGTAGGTGAATGGGTGGGTGGATGGATGGGTGGATGGATGGATGGATGGATGGATGGATGGATGGCCGATGGATGGTAGCCCCACTATCCTAACATTGAGTGGCTTCATGAAGATGGTGAATGGGGTGAGGAGCAGAACCTTGGACCAGGAGGACTTTGGGGTATCCACCACCCAGCAGGTCATACTGGACTCTGGCATCTTCCATGCAGTCCAATCCACATTAACTCCATTTGCCCAGTGGAGTAGCAATAATGCTCGTAAGAGACATGGCCACACCACTCACGTCTGGGAACCCCACCCCAGCACACCCTCCCTCACCGACTTTGCAATTCATTCTGGAGCCTGGATCAATTTCCAGAAGGGTCACTTCAGCCCACTGCAGAGTATTACAGGGAAATTCATTCTCTTTTCTAGGAGTGTTCTGGGAAGTGAAGCAATTAGCTGATCTTAAAGGGACACATACTATCAATTGTAATTCAATTACTAGGCTTAACTCTTTGGGAATGGGGCCCATGGCCAGGAAGGTGCTGGCTAGTGTGCAGTCTACCAGTGTAGGCTCTGGGATCTGCAGCAGATGGGTGGATGCTCAGTGGCCCCAAACCTGGGCCATATTCTGGGATCTGCCTCACTACAGCCTTTCCTAGGTGAGGCCGGGGGCTGGGAAGCCAAGCTTAGGTTCTGCCCTACGGTCCAGGCATCAAGCTCACAAGACAAAGGCTGCAGGCTCACCAGGTCTGCATACTGATCCCACCTCCATGGACTTCCATGTTCCTGCCCCAACCCGCCACACACCAATCTTGACCTGGGTCAGTGAGTGCACTTGGGCCTGCAGTGGATGGGGCCTCTCTCATGAGAGGCTGGTCAGGAGAAGGAGGCACCCGAGAAAGGGGCACAGACAGGCAGCCACAGTGTGAGGGAGCAGCACAGAGTGGGAGTGTCTGGGCACAGGCAGCTAGCTTGAAGCTGTGTCCCTCCAGCCACTGAGCTGGGCCCCTGGGGCGGGCCGGCCTCAGCTCCTCACACCAAAGGCAGGTGGGGCCTGACTCCCCAGGCAGCCTGGGGGATACACCAGAGGTCTAGATCCTACCAGGAGCAAGGATGGGAACCCAGTTCCAAGCAGAAGTCCAATCCTCATTGCTGGGCTGTGAGCTCAAGGCGAGGCTGGTCAGGGGCCTGAAGGAACGGGGCCTGCACTGGGGGGCGAGGTGGCCTTGGAGCTGACTGGGATAGAGTCCAGAATGGAGTCCTCCTACAGCACCAAGCAGCCCCAACTGTGGTGTCCAAGGGTGACAGGTACTGGGAGCCATGTGCCAGGTGTGGGCACCAGAGAGAGGGTGGGACAGCGAGTGTGAGGAGGCGAGACTAAAAAACACCTTAGCTAGTAAATGTTTAAATCATGCAATTATTTCTTGATTGCTTCTAAAACTAGAACTCATTAAAAACTCTCACAGAACCTTCTTTCACTGGTACCGCGGAATAACAACCTTGCATGGGACATGATAAAACCTTGGTGCATGCGTGTGCGCCCTCTGAAAATACCACTGCATTTTCTCTATCAAACAGTCTCTTCTTATAATTAGGATCTTGGCAACCATCCACCTACAGACGCTGGTTCCAGTTAATGGAACAACCAAACTTTGTGTTGGCTTATTAGGTATTTATAGTTCGATACTAGCCAGATCAACCACCCCGCACTCCAGTGCATGCCAACGACAGGAGGGGAGCCACACCGACTTTGGGAGGGGGCTGGGCCTGGGGCTCTGCTCAGCCTGGAGGCTGCCTCCTGGCCCACTCCTTATCCTTAGCCTCCTCCCTCCTAAGCCTGCCAGGCAGCCATGGCAACAGAGCAGCTGGTGCTCTGAGCTCTGCACCTGGGTCAGGTGACACAATGCTCTGGAGGCAAACAGGGAGCACTGGCACTCACAGGTGAGGTCAAGTGACACGGGCCTTGCAGGGGGAGCCTGGCAGAGCTCCATGGACCAGACCAGTGCCTGGCAAGCCTACTATGTGACAGCAGTGGCTTGGGGCATGTGCCCATCTCATCCGATCTCTGCTACCCCAGGGAGATGGGGCACTGCATTACCCTGCAGACAGGAAGAGCCAGACTCAACCAGGGTAAAGGAACTGCCATGGGGACAAAACTGGCTCTGCCACTACCTGGTAGGTGACCTCAGTGACCTACATTCTTCTCATCTGGGAAAGAGGCCAGCGCAGGGGCAGGTGTCAGAGCACCGCAGTTAGGACAGTCCTGCTCTCCAGGCAGGCGGCCTGGACACAAGGCCAGCTCTGCTCCACAGGAGCTGCATGGCCTGAGTCAAGGCATGACTTCTCCAAGCCTTCAATAAAATTGGAACATAGGGGTCTCCCTCTCACAGGGCTTTCGTGGGGGCTGACAAGAAGATGCGTAGAGATAAAAACTGCAGGGTCTTTCATCAACAGAGAACTCATCCACCCCACCCTCCCCATCCATCCACCATGCAACCTTTGTTCAAGAAACAGTCACTGATGCCCCAACCGGCCTGGCTCAGTAGTTGAGCTTCACCCTATCCACCAAAACGTAGCGATTCTGACCAGGGCACATACCTGGGTTGTGGGCTCGAACCCCAGTAGGGGGCATGCAGGAGGCAGACGATCAATGTTTGTTTCTCTCTCCCCCTCCCCCTTCCTCTCTCTAAAATCAATAAAAACATATTTTTTTTAAAAACAGTCACTGAGTGCCCAGTGTCATGCGTCCTTTCAGGTGCTGGGAACACAGCAATGACAGGTAAAACCCCTCCCTCCGTGGGCTTACATGCTTGAGGACTGAGATAAACAACAAGATAATTAACTAAACAGTATGTCAGACAAAGCAGAAGGAGACTGAAGTCTTGCTGCGTGGCCACAGAGACCCCAGATCCCCTCTCGGGCCCACAGGCTCAGCTGCAGAGGGCACGGGATGGAGGGCATGCAGCCTGGGACAGGCAGTGGGAACTCCACCCTGCAGCCAGGCCCCAGGCAGGGGAGGGCTAGGGCTCTACCACAGCTGCAGTGGGCGAACAGGTTACCAAAGGGCAGCAAACAGGCCTGGGGGCGGAGCTGCAGGCCACCTGGCTGCCTGCTGGCCCACAGTGGGAAGTGTAACCAGGCCTGGGCATGACTTAATTGGGGGCCAGATACCATCTGGCATGTCGACCCTGCATCTTCTACCCACACCCAGCCTGGTGCCACTGCTCAAATTCAGTTAGAGCTGGAGCCCTGTCACAGGATGGAATATGCCTCCCCTCTTCTCCACTCTAGACAGGGCTCAGGCAGGAGGCAGCAAGCTGCCTGCACTTGCCCCAGTGGCACTAACACCTGGCCCTTGGGGTCCTAGAAGGTCTGGGGCCCCCAAGGCCTGGCCCACCTGAGACAGTGTCAGGGAGGTGCCCTCGGCTGGGAGGCCGGAGACCAGCTGGCCTCTGGATCAGGGGCAAGGAGAAAGAGTGCGCTCCCACTGCTGGGACACCCCACCCCAGACTTGACCCTGCATGTGCAGGCCTCAGCTCAGCTGGGCATGGCCCTCCTGACGTACCTCACCCAGGAGGAGCCAGCAATGCCTGGTCAAATGCCAGGGCTGCCAGCAGTGCCCAAGTTGGGGGTCAGATGGCATGGCTCATCCTGTGGCCTCCAAGCCGGTAATGATGTCCTGCCTGGACGCAAGCGTGGGCCAGCCTCCTGCTCATAGGTCAACCACTCTGCCCTCTGCAGCTGCAGCGCCCTTCCCATCCCTCACCCCGTAGTCAGAGAGACTTACTGAGCCAAGCAAAAGGTGGAACCGTCTCTGCACTTGATCCTGCTCTGGTCGTCTCCGCAGGAGGGAGCCTGTCTTCCCACACAGGGTGGGGTGTCAGCACAGGGTCTGAGGAGGGCGGGGTGCCTCACCAGGCTGACCCAGGGAGGGGGCCCTCAGAGTTTGAGACCTGCTGGGGGCAGACATGTGACAGGTCCTGAGCTGTTGACCTGCCAGGTCCCTGTTTTTTTAGAAGCTATTGCTTTCAGGGATCTTTATTCCAGAAGCCAAGCCCCTGGGAGCTTCAGGGTGGGCAGGCCCTCAGGAAGCACTGCTCCAACCCCTCCTGCTGCAGGTGAGGGCCTGAGGGCAAGGGAGGAGGACTGTGTCACACCAGGTACAGGGCTCAGTCCCACCCAGAGTGCCGCACTCTCAATGCACTGCAAGCACACCGGATACCCACACACCAGTCAGGGCCACAGGCCTCTGGCAGTTGTCACAGACTATCCGTGGCTATAGGCACATTTGGCAGGCTGGACTGCACACGTGGGAACTTGAGAAGACAAAGAACCACCACGTGCTGGCAGCACCATGAATTGCAGGTTCAGAACCCTTGGGCCAGAGCGAAGCAGACTCCTGGAAGTCTCAGTGCAGCAAAGGAAACAGTCACAGGGACTGAGACTCACCTCCCAGGGCAGGCCCTAGCTCCGCCAGATGGCTGTGCCCTACTGAGAAACCCAGGGAGGCAGCAAGAGACATCAGATGAATTCTGATGGGTTCCCTGGACTCTGACCTCTCCACACTTAACACAGAGGGCAAAGAGGGGCCATCCGCATGGCTCAGGCAGGAGACAGCCTCAGTCTGTTGACCACATGGTGAGTGTTGCCAAAACAGGGCTGGCCCAGCTCTTCCTGGACAGCCAAGAGTCACAGTACCAGGGGATCCAAGGGCACATGTGTACATGCACATACACACGCATGCTAGGCCCTCACCTCGATCTGCAGCTTGGCCTCCAGGTCCTCCTTGGTGAAAGTAGCGCCTGCTCCTGGCCCTGCCATGTGCTGCCACCCCCACTGAAGATCTTGTCGTCAGCCAGCTCAGCAGAAGGGTCCCGGGGAATCTACTGATGACAGACAGACCGTTACCATGGGTACACCTTGCTGCCACCAGACCCAGGCTAAGTCTTCTTTCCAGCTAGCAGCAGGCAGCTCCACCTTGAGGCTAAGCCTCAGCGCAAGGGCACCAGGAGCCTCCAGGAGTTTGTGCTCCCCACCCCCCACTCCATCAGCCTCCTGGGAAGGGGAAAGGCCCCAGCCTGGGCTCTACAGGATGCAAGTGTGTGTCAGAGGCATGTGCCCCAGGCTGGCCACCTCCTGCTCACAGGTCGACCACTCTGCCCTCTGCAGCCATAGCGCCCCTCCCATGCCTCTCCCCGTAGTCAGGGAGGCAGCTCCTGAGTCCCTTTCTTGGCTTGGGGGTGGATGGAGGAATGTCCCACCCTGTTTCTTGGGGGACATTCCCACAAGGCTGCCAGGTGCTGGGGCTCTGTAAATAGTGGGCAAGGATCAGAGACAGGTGGACATGGGGCCCCTGCCCCTTGGCACATGTGCTCACCTCCAGCCACCCCAGGCCTGGCTACACTGAGCACTCGGCAGGACCCGCAGTCCAGTCTCAAACAGGGTCACACAAAAGACCCTACAGAGAAGGCTCCATGTTCCTGGCCCTCCCGGATTGACTCCAGGGGGCTTCAGGGGACCCAATGAGGTGGGTGGCCCTGCAGACCTCGTGAACACGTCTCTCATAGGCAGCAGTTACAGGGCTATGCTTGTCCTCCGGCAGACCCGACCCCTTGCCGAGAACACAACCAGGAGAACACAACCTCAAGTCTCAAATTCTTCCCACACGCATTCAGGGGTGTGATCGCCTGCCCAGTGCCAGGCCTGGGGACAGAGCCACAGACAGCGAGAACCCAGTGCGCAGCCATACTTGCTGGGCACAGAAACCGAGAAATCCACAAATAAGAACTTCAGCACCATTGTGACAAATGCCAGGAGGGCAGGAGCGGCCACCTGCAGGAGGCCAGGGGGTAATGGCACCAGGGGCACCAGGGCCATTGGAAGGACAGGTGTGATGCCAGGAGCTCCTTCTGTAACTGTGCCAGGCTCCACCATTGGTTACACCCATTCTCAGTCACAGGACGGCTGCCCAGTCCCACAATGGAGTGGTGAAGCCCTGCTAACCCAGTCCTCCCTCCCAAGCCTGCCTTCTCCCTACGTACATGCTACTACAGGAGACACCTCTTCCCCCAGTCAGCAGAAGCCTTTAAATAAATTTGTGGATAGATGCATATAAAATTAAAGATCTAAAAAATCTGTTGACAAGCGCTACTGGGCCAAGGCAGCAATTATCACCTCCCTTCCGGGTGTGGGCGGGAGGAAGTGAGCAGTGCCTGGCCGGTGGGTGGGAGCAGGAGGGGGCTGGCCCAGCCTCACGGCCTCCCTTTCTGCAACTCCAGCCCCTCCGGAAGCTGAAGCACTCAGCCCCATGGGAGGCCCCGGTCAAGTCTCACACAGTCTCATGGCCTCCATGTCCTCACCTTTAGACTGGGAATACTGGTCCTCACCCCAAGGCCAAGGTTGCCAGCTGCTGTGCAGAGGTGTGGTGGCTGGGATCCCGCGTGCCCTCCCCTCCACAGGTACCAGGCTTCCCTCCCCAGTGGCTCGGGACAAGAGACAGGCCAGGAAGACATAGCTTAGCTGCTGACCCCACCACAGTCCTTCCCTTTTCTGAAAGGACCAGAAAGCACCCCTTTATTCTCTGTACAAAGGCCCAATTTGGGTCTTCAGCTCCGAAGCTGGGATCAGGAGTTGCTGGCACTGCACTAGGCCAGACGGAGGGGCCGCCTGTGATGCTTTTCCAGCTCCAAGCGTCAACAAAGGCGGCTTTCTCCTCCCTCCAGGGCCAAGGGTCTGGGTCCCATTCTGACACGTACGAAAAGAGCCATAGCCCAACGTAACTGCTGGAGAGCAGGGCTGAGTGGTTTCCCGTGAGAAAGATGAAGCCCTGAGGGTTGTTCCAGGAGGCTGGGAGGACAGCCCCACCCCAGGGCCAATGAGGAGCATCCAGGGGCCTTGGGGATTCTGGGAAAGAGGCCACTTCTCTCAGTGCTCCAACCTGGGCTCCATGCAGGAACATCCATAACCCTGTAGGAGGGCAGGGCCAGGGTGCAGGGCATGGGCCAGTCACACACTTGAGAAACAGCTCTGTTTAGCAGCCAAGGCCGGTCAACTTCTCTGAACAGCAACAACTCTACTTGCTAGCTGATGGAAGTTTCTGGAGACTTGTCAAAGCCCAGACCACCAGAGCTGGCATGACTGTAGCCATCCCCCAGCCCTGTATGAAAGGGGCACACAGCAAGGGGCAACTCTACCCCTGTGCCCTGCAGGGAGACCCCAGCAGGGAAGGTCCAGCTGGCCCAGGGGGTGGGGTTCACCTTTACTGCTGCTTGAGAGCACAGGGCAGGAGCCAGCCCCAGATGAACGCAGGACCCGGCTGAGGTTGTGGCCAACCTTAGCTAAGGTGGCCCACTCCAGGGAGGTTTGCTGCTCACTGCCACCCCAGCACTGGCTGATGAGAGAGGCAGGTGGTGGGCACCCTGGCTCCTGCCGGGACTGCCAGTCCGTGGACAGTGGCCCCGAAGTGGGGAGCATCAGCGCAGCAACAATCACTGTGTGGAGCAGGGTGGTAGTGACCCCACTGTGCACAGCTACCATAATTCCTGAAAATTAGCTCATCTTTCATAAGTTCTCAGAAGTACTACTAACCATTCTCCTTTTTAAAAAAATTCTACTGAAACATAAATCTGCCGTTTCACTGGGTGTTGTGTTGCTGTGAGTGTTCGACATGACTTCTGGTGGAGAAATAAGGGCCTTTCTGCTGGGGATGCACCTGTGGTGGGATTGCAAGGTCAGGGGTGAAAAACAGTGTACCGTAAGATGTTTTCAAATAGTGTTCCAGTGGGGGTACCACTTCCGCTCCCATGAGCAGTGTGAGATTTCCAGGGGCCCCCGCCCTCACCGCGCAGCACCGTCTTCGTTATTTTGCTGGGTGTGAGGTGTGGTGGGTTCACTTTGCCCTCTTCCCATGACACATGCTGAGAGCACGTCCCCTCCAGCCATGTGTCTGCCTGAGGCTTTTCCCCTTTTTGGTTTCTGAATTGAGCTACTGTTTTCTTATTGACTTGTGAGAGATCTTTATATATTATGGCTGTAAGTCCTTTTCAGATGTGTTGTGCAAATACCTTTGCTTACTCTATGGGCTTCCTCTTCACTCTCTTAAGGGTATGTTGACTTTAACAAAGTCAAGTTCAGCAACCTATTTCTTTATGGTCCGGGCTTTTTCACCTGGGTAACAAATGTTAGCACACCACAAAGAGGTAGGTGAAGGTAATTCCTTTAAGAGTTTTAACAGGGCCTTTCCACTGTTTTCTGGCTTCCATTGTTTCTTTTAAGAAGTCAAATGTAAGTCTTATTGCTCCTTTTTTAAATAATGTGACTTTTTTCTCAGGCTTTAATCAGCTTTTAAGATTTTATTTTTCCCTTTCTTAATCAAAATTTTATTATGATGTGACTGAGGGTGGTTTTTAAGAAAGAGGATAAATTTATCCTATTTGTCATAGAGCTTCTTCAATCTATGACCTGAAGCATTTGGACAGTTTTGGAAAATTCTCCATCACCTCTTCAAATATTGTCTCTTTCCCATCTCCCTCTCCCCCTGCCCTCATTCATCGAGGACTCCAATTATGCTCTTTTCTAGGTTTTTTACTCATGGGAGGATTGGTCTGATACAAGGTAGCCATGCTCAACAAGCGGAACTGCTAACCATTACCCCGTACCAAGCCCAGGACACAGGCCTAAGGTCAAATGTCAATGTTTTAAAAGATCATTTGTCCAGACCAACCCCTCAGACTGAGGCCCTGCCCTCAGCTCCTCCTGCTCTTGCCTGGAGCAACAGCTTGACCCTGTGCTGTCCTCTCACACCCACAGGCCATAGAGAGTCTCTGGCACCCACCTGCTGTCTGCCATCCCTCTCGCCGTGGGAAGAAGAGCTCAGGCCTTTTCCACAATTTTCTGTTGGAAACAGCACAGGAGGGATGTGGGAAGAACAGAAAAGGCAGAAGGAGAGGAGAAACAGTCAGACAGACATTACACATTGGATGATGATGGCCAGCAGAGCACACCCACCCCGGACAGTGCAGCCCTCAGGGTCTTGGGAAAACTGAGCATGTGGCTGGGCCCTGCCAGCGACCTGCGGGACAGCCTCATCCAGGCACCTAACTCCCTAGGTCTATTTCCCCACCCATCAGAAGGAGTGACACCTGGCTTCCCACCTCTTGGGAAGCTGTTATGCAGCCATCTCCTGGGCGGCACCAAAAGCTCACTATCCTTCCCTACACATGCCCTGCGGTCACACCAGCTGGATCCTGGTGACTGTCAAATGCCCACAGCTGGCCCACCCTCTGCTGTGGGGGCTGGGACCATACCAGCCCAAACTAGGGACAAGACAGCCAGAGTGGGTGCCCAACAGAGTGAGGCCCACCCACCCAGCTGGCGGTCTTGTCCTCCCAGCCTCCCCTTCTGCGCCACTCCATTGTATCAAATGGCGTCAGAGAGCCGAGTTTTTAGGCAGTCCAACTGAAGCCACTTCCACTGCAGAGGGACTGGATCTTAGGTGCAAGGCCTGGCCTGCCCCACAGCCCCTCCTCCCAGCAGGCTTCAGGTCCCACACTCCTGTGCTCTCCTGGCAGCAGCCGCATAGCCCCCCTTCTATGCCTATCCCCAGACTTGCTGTCATAATCCCACCTCTGCCGTTAGAATCGGCTCATCCCCATTCACACCATCCCCGCAGATGCCAGCACAGGCTCCAAGACACGGCCAGCGTCGCCATGGACACCAGCACCACCCAATCCTGCACACGACTTCAGCACTGACCACAGAGCCAGCACTGCTCCAACACAATACACTTGTCTGGTCCCTGAAACAACCCTCACAGGACTGTGGTAATCCCCATCTAAAAGCTCAGGAGACCTCAGCCTGAGTTCTAAGTGGCCTATTCAGGGCCACCACAGGGCCCACGCACCCAGCACTCAAAGCTGTGTCTCATCACCAGCGTCAGGACTGCAGCCATAAAACCATGCCTTCTGCCACCAGAGCCTCAGCCCTTACACACGGCCTCTGGCCTCCCAGGGGAGCAGGCCTCATCTGTCCTGTTCACCCCCGCACCTCAGGTGACCAGAACAATGCCGGGCACAGAGCGGGTGCTCCAGACATACCACCAAATATGGGAATGGACCAGCCAGCACTGAGCCTGGCACTGCCCACTCTGGTCAGCTGTGAGCTCTACCAGGCCACCGGCAGCCCCAACCCTCATCTCTCACCACACACAACAACATAAAGCCACACTGGTCCCAGTATTCTCATGACCAAGATGCAGACACGAGCTCCAGGCCCGCTTCTGCTCCCAGCACCTCCTGTCATCTCCCGAGAGCCCTGGCCATTACCCAGACCCTGTGTCTCAAGTCACAGACTAAGCCCACCCCAGCATGGGGGCTTCTGTGTAGATCCAATTTGACCTTGGCCCCTCACCCCTCCACTGCCACCCCGCACTGCCATGCAAGCCCATGATGAGAAAGAGCCTCTGAGGTGAGACCAACTTTGAGTGGACGCCTTTCCAAGGTCCTGGGCTTGCGGGCCTAATGGTCCCCATGTGGCTGCAGCTCTGTGCACATGCAGCCTGGTTCAGAGTCCAGCTGAGGTTCTCGTCATTGGCACCACAGCCTGAGCCTCTCGCACAGACAGATCTGCCCCACGCCACCCCTCCTGTCACTTGTTCCCACCCAGCTACAGGATGCCGCCCTCCCGTCCCCTCCTGGCCTCCAGGGGAACATACCCCGGAGCAGCCCCGCAGCAGCTCCGACATCTGCTCCATGGCACTGGTGCGGGCCTTGATGGTGTGGTCAGTTTCCTGCTGTGCTGTGTGCCTGAGGCGGGCAGGGGTGGAGGCAGGAGTGGGGAACCCGGGCAGGGGGACAGGGAGGAACGGCGGAAGCAGAAGGGAGGGCAACACTGAGAGGGCAGGAGACGCGGAGAGAGAAGAGGGGAGAGGGGAAAACCAGCAGGAAGGCAAGAGGCAGAGAGAAGACAAGGAAACTGAATGAGGAGTGGCCGAGGGACAGAGGAGGATGGGGAGAGCTAGAGTCAGGGCCAAAGGGACAGACAGGTGGAAACAGAGAGCAAAAAGCAGAGGGCGGGGCTGGGAAAGGAAAGAAGGACTGGCGACTCCAGGTGAGGGGAGCCCATGCACACCGGCTCACCACCACCAGGACCCTCACCCCGCCATGGCCACCACAGACCCTGCAGATGACCTCTGGCCTGAGTCTGCGCCTGCAACCCCCACCCACCCACCAAGGAGGCCCCAGTCTTGAGCCCTCCCTGTGGCAAGGCCCCACTGGGGGTCAGCACTCATCAGGAACCTGGGGTGAGAACCTCAGAAGGAACCTGGGCCCACTCGGCTGGCCCTGCAAGTCTTAGGTGAGACCCCTACCACCACACTCAGGAACATGGGAGACAGGGGCCAGGGTCCCCTCAGCCACACGGTTCCTGATTCTGTATAACCTGGAAGGAACTGGGGAGACCCGCCCTCGCCTACTTGCAACTGATCACTACCCCTCCGACCAAGTGGCACAAAGGGCAAACCCTGCCCTCAGGCTTCCTACAGGCGCACACAGCAGGCCAGCGAAGGGGCCTGGCCTGGCTTTGGCCCCAGTGCATACCAGAGAAGCCTCCAGACCCTGTAAGCTGCAGCTGGATGCCCCCTCTGCTCCCTGCAGGACCCCCACATGCAACGCATATGGCTGACAAGGAGGGACACCCCTCAGGTACCGCAGCCCAGGTCCCTAACACCCAAGTCACAGAGCACGTGAGCATGAAACACAGAAATGGCTTTCACAGTGGGGAGGGCAGGGGTGGGACAGAAGGGACCTGAGCCAGCTTGAGGAGGCGGCCGACCAGGCCAGGCCCAGTCCATGCTTCACACCCCATCTTCGGGCCGCCTGTCTGCCACATGGGCTTCCGTGAACCCTCAGGACAGCCAAAGGGTCTGAGGCACCCCCTGTGCGGGACCCCATGGGGTTGTGAGCAAGAGCAAGCAGGGGACAGGTGGAGGGTGGAGACTGCCACCTGGGAGACAGCCAGTGCTCCCTCCCAGAGTCCCTGCCTAACTCAGGGTGTGTCTTCAGCACCATCCAACATGTCACTGCTTTCTAGAACGTCCCATCAGCTTCCCGCTGCTCTAAATATAAAACCCAAACCTCTCAGGCACACGAGGCCCTCCTCGCTTGGTGGCAGCCCCTCTCCTTCTGGAGCCTCAAACATGCCGTGTCTGCTGCCACTTTAGGAGACGTAGCCATTTTCCCTCCCAAGGAGAGGTAGGGCCAAGCCCCTTCCTGAACTTGGACAGGCCGAGGTTACTCTGACCACAGAGGGCACCAGAAGTGACACTGTCATCAGCTGCAATGGTGATCATTGCCTTCCTTTCATGAACACTGGCACTGGAGCTAAGCCAATACACAAGACATCAGCTACCACAAATACGGGGTGCAGACGCTCCAGGTGATGCCCCAGCCGAGGTCAGCATCAGCACTGCCGATTGTGAGAGTGAAGCAGCTTCCACATGCTCTGGCCCCAGCTGTGGGGCACTGCCCCCCACCCCAGGCTAAGTGATCCCAGCTGAGACTGCAGACACCCTGGAGCCCCACGAGCCTCCCCACGGCACTAGGATTTAGATCCCACTGGCCTCAAGAGGGTCTGGTCCTAGGCTGCTATAAGGTTTCCCTGCAGAAAGGGAACTGAGCTTCATGTAGCATCCCCCAGGCCCAAGGTGACATGTAGGCACCAGCCCTGAGTTCTGGAGAAGCGGCCCTTTGCAGCTCTTCACTCATTCTGTGGCCCCAGGAAAACTCCTGCCTCTTGGCCTCAGTTTCCCTATGTGTTAAAGGAGGGACTGGGTTCAGTCAACTGGAAGGGCCTTTGGGGCCGGGCCCTTGGTCAGTGAGTCTCTGGGCCCCAGAGGCAGCTCTGAGAAGTGAGTGTCAGATCAGATGAAATGGACCGTGGTCAGCCCAGTGATCAGAGCTAATTCCAGATAACAGAGGAGTGGCTGAAGGAGCACCTCCACCCCACTCCTGCTCTTCAGCAAACCCCCAGAAAGTCTTTGTGTGCAGTCATGGCTCAGGATCCTGCTGTCTGAGCTTGGGGAGGGGAAAGAGAAGCAAGGCCGCCAGTGCCTGCACAAAGCTAGGCTGTGAGCACTAAGCCCCTCAAAGAGCCGTGGGCAGGCCAGGCAGCACTGTGCTGGATTAGCCTGATCCCAGCCCCTGATCCTCTCTGATGCCCAATCCAACATGTAAACCTGATGCCCAGGGAGGGAGTGCTGCTCACAGAGCCAGGACCCAGTGCTGCTCCCTGGGAGTGCCTGGCCCCTGGCCAGCCCTGCTGTGGGCTGCCAGCTTTTCCTGAGCGCTGCAACACTGTCACCTCCTCCTTGAAGCCCCATGCTTGATCTCAGAGCATGCCCACCCCCCAGTCCTCCCACCTGCTAGGTGGCTTCTGCTCAGCTTCTTTATGAGTTTGGCCCTACACTGGTACCCACCTGAAACTCTGGCCCTGGTCCCAGCAGTAGATCAGGCCAGAGAGGGGAGCTCACTATAGCCCCAAGCCACACCTCAGGCCCTCCATGCTCCCCATAAGGTGCTACCAACACAGTGTGCTTGCTCCCCAAAACTCCCTCTGGGCCCCAAACCTGTGCCAGGACCCAGGACCCAAAACCACACAGACCTCCTGAAAGGGCTCATCCCAATCAGGCAGCATTAAGCTGCTGACAGGCAGCAAGGGTGAGATAGGGAAAGGCAAGGATGGAGGGTGGGAGAAAGAAAGGCCTCTTGAGGAGCTGGGGTGGGCCAAGGGCCAAGCTGAGAACACACCTGTGGGGGGGAAGGTAGAGCTCAAAAGTGCAATAAGCCCACCCCTACTCAGGCATTTGCCCTTTGGAGTACCAGGACGTGCCACTCTCAGCTCTGATGCTATTTCCATGGAAACAGCAACAGAGATCCCCACCAGAAGAGGAGGCAGGAGTGGTCCCCACCAGTGCAGAAACATGCAGGAACCAGGGTCCACCAAGGCTGGGCATCATTGCTTCGTGCTGGGTGCTGGTTCCCTTCAGACCTCCAAGCAAGCAGGGCTGCAGGCAGCACAGTTACAAGCTGAGGACACGGGGCCCTGTCCACAGGCCACTTCCTATTGGGGCTCCTGGAACTTCATCCATTCATTCAGCTCCTACTGTGATTGGCCCAGCAGCACCCTGGAAAGCACCCCCAGAACCCAGACAAGCGAGGAGAGATCACCAACACAACCTGGGCCAAACTAGGAGCTTGTGCTGTGGGCCAGGCGGGTCCCCTTGGGGTGGCTGACAGAAATGACAGAGCCCACACCTATCTCATGAAGAAGAGAACAGCAGGTTCAACCCTGTGAGGTTCTTACGAAACTGAATTTATTCAACGTGAAGAGCTGTCCTCTCCTGAGCTCTAAGCCTGCCTTCTGTGGGCACGGCCTGTCTTCTTTCATGAAATGATGGCAATAACAAATGGCGGTATGCTTTTTTTTTTTCATGTCCTTACTTGGCAAAATAAAAAAGTTGGCAACTATTAGTGTGCAGAAAACACAGAATTGGCAACTAACCGCACATTCATCTCAAGTCATTTAAAAATGCTAACAGTCCAGCTGTGCACAAACTCCACCACAGACTGGGTCATGGACACTCCAGAGGCCACAACAAGCTGGTTAGGAGCTGCCCTGCAGGGAGGGGAGACAGGAAGGGGCTAAAGTGAGAGTTTCTGGACCTGAAGGGCGAGGCTGATGGGGGTGGGGTTAGT